GAGGGATGAATGAGTCTGCATCTGTGTACCTACTTGGTGTGTTGTGGTCACTTGAGAAGGAAGGGCATCGTGGATGTGTTGTGATATGCTGTAACTGTTCCACCTGTGCACACGCCACACCATTCGTGCTCATGCTTGTGCTGATCTATGCACTTGTCCACTGTGTGTGTGCGTTAGCTACCCGATGATCATTTTCTGGATGCCTTTGTGCTTTCTTCGTGATTTTCTTTTCTTGAGTACACGCCGTGATGGTTCGTCTTGAGAGGGGGTGTCAGGATTGCCACCATGGCGAGACGAAGCACTGCGAGCTTGTGAGCTAGGGTAGGTTGCTGTGTAACGGAGAGAGAGAGGTGGAGAGAGGAAAAGAGAAGGAAAGCATTCTGAGGAGACACGATCTTATCAGCCATCACCGAAGTGAGATCTGTGTTGACCACCCTTCATGATGCCATACATGGACAGAAACAACTTTGACTGACTGGCCAGTCCATCGGTCTTACTAAAGTGAAAGCACTCTTACTCTGGGACTTACCGCCCAGCAGATCCTCTCTTCAGCTAACTACAGGAAAGGTCCTCACCGGCCTTTTCGCACAGTTTTCATGTGACAGACCATGGGACTGCCGGCCGCCTAGGGTGCTCCCTGAAACCGGCCTCCGATTAACGCCGCCGTCTGCCCTAACTCATAAAACCAAGAAGCATGATTTACTCCCTCTTCCTCCTCCTTGGCCTCGAGCTCTGCTCATGCTTTACCCCTCTTGTATTTCAGTCCCCCTTGGTGCCAAGATCTATCCCGCCTCTCCGGCTGCTGCGGCATGCCTCTCGGTTCCTCCACGCCACCGCTGTGGCTGAGTCACCCCCCCCGACTAATGTTGTTGCGGAGGAGAAGGCACAGCGACCTGTGTATCCATTTGTGGCGATTGTCGGGCAGGAGGAGATGAAGCTGGCGCTCATTCTGAACGTGATAGATCCCAAGCTGGGAGGTCTGATGTGCATGGGCGACAGGGGGACGGGCAAGACCACCACCATTCGAGCCATCGCTGACCTCCTGCCGCAGATAGACGTCGTTGCGACTGACCCTTTCAACAGGTAAGTGTGCACTTGACTGCGAGTTCATGCTGTATTCCTCTTCTTCGTGTGCCTGCAGTTCTCCCAGCGATCCTGATTTGATGGGCCCTGAGGTACGGGATCGTGTTGAGCATGAAGAAAGCCTCAAGGTGACCAAAGTGAAGGTCCCCATGGTGGATCTACCTCTCGGCGCAACAGAAGATCGGGTGTGCGGGACCATTGACATCGAAAAGGCACTCACCGAGGGTGTGAAAGCATTCGAACCAGGTCGAAACAGGCAGGGGGTCGTGTATCTGATTTTGTTGTGCGTCGTGCCTTCGGTCTAGGTCTTTTGGCCAAGGCGAACAGGGGCCTTTTGTATGTAGATGAGGTCAATCTGCTGGACGACCATCTTGTGGACGTACTGCTCGATAGCGCAGCGTCAGGATGGAACACAGTGGAGGTGAGAATGACACAGTGAAAAGGCTGCGCATGCTCAAGTCTTCACACGAGGCGTGTGAGGTGCTTGTTGACGTCCTTGGTGCTCCAGCGGGAAGGTATCTCCGTCCGCCATCCAGCCCGTTTCGTGTTGATCGGGTCAGGGAACCCCGAAGAGGGCGAGCTGCGACCTCAGGTATCACGGAAGGGACAAATGTAATGACGGGAGCCCACCTTGTTGGCTGGTGCACTTCAGTTGCTTGACCGCTTCGGCATGATGGCCGAGATCCACACGGAGCGGGATCCTGAGAGGAGGGTGCAGATCGTCGAATTCAGAACAGGTGCAAGCTTAGTCGACACACAAGTGCGAAAAAATGCATCACGCCTTCGTGTAAGCTTTCGACACGAGCCCGAAGGAGTTCGTTAAGCAGCACAGCGCCGAGTCCAATAACTTGCGGGAAAGGATAATCAGGTAAGAGACGGAGGAGCGTGTAGAACGCTCGCATCCGGCTTTCATTCGCCTGCACGTTTACTGCTCACCCTGCGCCTTGTCCATTCAGGGCTCAGGCGCTGCTTCCCACGGTGAAGATGGACCACGACATGCGCGTCAGAGTGTCGCAGGTTTGCAGCACGCTTAATGTGGATGGACTCAGAGGGGATATCGTCACCAACAGGGCAGCGAGGGCATATGCGGCTTACCAGGTGGAATACACCGGTGGAATGAACACGGGTTAGAAAAGAAGATGGCCACTTGTGTCATCTAACCCATCAGGGTCGTGACGAGGTGACAGTGGACGACATCGGCAGAGTCATCACCCTTGCCCTCAAACACCGACTCCGGAAGGATCCCCTGCAACAGGTGCGACCAGCGAGCGAAGCTATCGACTCGGCAGATCTGCCTGACTGCACCTGTCGTGTGATTTTATTTTTGCCAGGTTGAGTCTGGCGACAAGGTCATGAAAGTTTTCAGGGAAGTCTTCGAACTGGAAGAACAGGACGAAGACGAAGATTAGAGTTACTCTGCTGCGATGAACATTAGTCAAATGATTTTTCGTCTTGTGAGCACGTTCTTTTTCCTTACGAACTCACCATGACAAAAAACCTTTCGTCCCATGGAGTATCCACTGATGGACGGTTTTGAGCCCATGAAACAACTTCATGAGGGGATTTACGGGACAATGGCCGTGGGGGTCACTGAGAATCTGTTTCAGAAAGCTATCCTTCATACCTTCACTGCATAAAGAGAGGTATGAAGGATCAAAACCCCTTCACAGTAAATCCAAGGCAGACTTGTTAACAATGACTGTCGAGGCGTCCGACGAACAAATCAGACGCGTTATAAATTGGGGTCCGACGAACAAATCGGACATGTATGGTAAGTACTTATGCTCGGTTCCCGGAAGGTCGCTATGTATCACTCATCGACCTCCGTGTCCTTGCCTTCATCTCGGTCTTCGACACTTCCACCAATCGTCCCTTCTTCACACCGAACCCTGGAGCGGTGAGACGTGAGATGCGCTTGCTTCGTTTGTTCTCGTGTACCTTCAGGGGGGTGAGGAAACTTCGACATACCATCTGTGCCATAGATTCGCACTTCAAACATGCGTGCCTGCTCTATCCCGTAGTAGATGCGGACCGCCTTGACGCCCTTGCCCGAAACATCCGTCTTCTGCACCTCGGCGGCGACGTTGTGTGACCGCTTGCGCATGTAGTTATCCTGTATCTTGGCGACGGTGCGCCACATGTTGGCGCTGTCGCCTGCGAGCCGCACCTGCACCTGCACACACACACACATACACATGCACCCAGTGAGGATTTGCGCGACTCCAGGACTGGCATGCCATCAGCCGCACCTGGATGTCGTAGTCCTTGACTGTCTCAGGCTGCGGGCGACCCCACACCATGCGATTCATGTCACTCAGCTTCTGGGACAGCATGAGGGTGCGGTGCATGCCCGTGTCAAACACCAGCTCCACCTGACCCCCACAAACTCAAGATGTGTCTGTGGGGAGGGAGCACACATGGACTGACTGGCTTGCTTACTTGAGAGAGGTCTTTGACTGGCGTGCTCCACTCCAGGACAATCCACGACAGGCAATCAATCGTGGCTCACCCATCGATTGATGCCGTTTTTTTGCTGGCTTGCGTGAACACCGCCATCACCCTTTTGATCGCTGACCTGTCGAAATCTGAACCGTCGACCGACACCAGTGAATTAAAGGTAGTGACGTGCGACTGGTTCAGATACCTGCGCAGCGCTTCCGTTGTATTTGCCCTCAATCCACTCGGTCGATGCCACGACCTCGATTGCCTTCGCTGCATAATCTCGCGGATCTTCATTGTATACACCAATAATATACTGGTCGTCACGAAGAAGCTGCTGCTGGATACTCCACACCGCAACGCACACGAGAATTCTCGGAATTTCGCCCTTTCTATACTCTCCGTCTTTACCGGGGTCCTTCGTGACATCTGCGGCGCATAGAACAACCCCCAGGATGTGTGATTGCATTCCATTCACACTCACTCATGCGATGCGGAGAGTGGCCCACCTTTGGGGTCGATGTCATTGAGCGCACAATACGCGGCGGCTGTGCCCACCGCCTAACCCATCGCCGCGCAGGTCTTCATGACCCGCTGCCTGCCGAACACCAAATGGGAAAGCGATGCGAGACGCCCGGCCAACATCAGGTTAGTCGCGTTTAGGGCCACAAGCGATCGGAGAGGCGTGCTACACATGACCAAGGCCTACCAGCCACCATGCGATACGCGATCCCAGTAGAGTGTGGGAGCAGGAACGTCCTCAGCTTTAGCCAGGGGATCTGGTAAGATGTCGTTTTGTGTCATTATGTACAAACCCCGGAAACGGCGACCTGAACGAGCACATGAACAACTTAATCAAGGTGGCACAGCCTCTAGCGCTTACATTCTCTTTTGCATGGCCACCACTCTAACCAGTCAAGAGCGAGATTTTCTGCCTCAGGAAAGTTGCCGCTGTTCTTGATGTAGTCCCAAGTCCCAAGGACACTCTCCATAAGCCGGTCTCGGACCTCCTCGTTATCTCCGATCATGTTGTACGGCCGTAGTCCAAATTGTTCGACTCCAGCTTGCGAAATTCTCAGTCAGAGTCGTCGTACTTGGTGGCCCACGATGGCGGCGTAAACTTCATAGGCCGTCCGTAGTTTTTGGATGTAAAGGCCAGTGAGCTGCCCATCGTCTCGTTATCATTGCGGAGGTCCGCAAGTGACTCATTGAAGGTGGCCTTGCCCTCTCGCCCGATGATGTAGGGGATGTATGCCTGACTCAACCGTACGATGTACATATTGAAGAAGTGCTTGGCTCAGCTGTCGCTTCTGCTTACATCAGCACCAAGCCGCCTGTCTCCTGTCGCATCGATGAAGATCTTGCCCTGGACGACATACTGCGTTTGTGTTTGTGTCTCTTGGTTCTCTCCAATCACTTCTGTAACTGTCCAATCATCGCCTTCAGCCGACTGGACCTTCGTGGCCGCCACGACCCAAGTGTTGAGCTGCATGACATCCATAGATGACAAGAACAGAGGCAGTCTTTCAATCTCATGTATCAGTACCAGCAGGGTGCAGTTCTCTTGTTGGCGGAAGATGTCGTATAAGGTGAGATCGTGAATAGAAACGGACCTCTGGGGGTTCCTAAAAGAGTTCTCAAGGGTGTATTCCTCGATGATGCCGCCTTCACGAGCTTCAGTCTCCAACTCAACGCCCCGATGTCCTTCACGATCAGCGCCAACAGGATGTAGTTTCGACTCAGACGACATGTTGCCGCCAAGAACTCCCCTAAGCGAGAGAACACAGAAGCGTCGGCGGTGTGTTCGTTCTCCTACTCGTACCGTCCCTGAATGAGCACGGTCTTAGCTCCACTTCGCGCAGCTGCAAGTGCTGCTGAAATGCCTGCCGACCCGGGGCGACAACGACGTCAGCCTCGAGATAACGCGTGAGAAGACCCGCACCGACAGAATCACCTGAAGTAAATGACGAATGAGCAGGCAAGGCACCAGCCTGTCATTCTTGACCCCCCATCCTGTGGCCACGGACCCTCGGTGCTTCGGGGTGTCTCGCCCGGTGCCAACGCTTCACACACACGCGCATACTTCGGATAAAAATTCTAAAACTCCAACACACACATACCGCTGCTGAGAATAGTGGCATCAGGACGCATGAATAGGTCCTGGCCAGCATCCCATTGCTGAAAGAAACGGTATGTGTTAAGCAGACAAGAATCCCATCACGCCCACCTCTATCTCGATCTGTTTGCCCTCTCTGTCGACGACAGGAGTGTCAGCGTCAAGTGCATGGACGGGTGCGTCCTGCTTTGCAAGCAGAAGTGGGGTCTCAGCGTCACCATTCACGTCAATCACGGAGAAAGCCCAAACCAACCCTACAATAGCCGGATTCGAACTACCGAAATACCGGGAAGTTCGAACGGCTTTTCGGACAGCCGTTAGGTCATCCTCACACTATCGGATGACAGCTACTGACGGACTCATCTCGTGGGTATCGAAATGTCGAAGGCATGAAGTGCTGATAGCAGCTGGAGGGGTGCTGTTGCTTCTGTCACTTTTCTCTGTCTACCAACTGAGGATAGCGCATCGCTTCTACCAGAGGAGGTCTCTGAGAACACTGCCTCACGGCATGGCGCTGAGCGCGGTGCAGAAAAACTCTTCCCGGTGGATCAAAATGCCGCGGGAAGTCATCCTGAAGATGAAAAGACCCGTCGTTGGCAGAAGTTCCCGCTTATCTTACCGGCATTCGTCTTCGTCATCACTTGGACCCGTACATTGGTGGTATCCAGGTTTTCGTTGGGTCTTCATGATCACGCCGACATATCGTCGTGTCACGCAGCGCCTCGACCTTGTGCGTCTCACAAACAGCCTCGGGCATGTTGAGAATGTGGTATGAACATGAAGAAGACACCGACCTCTGGATACACCCCTGTACTCCTTGCAGCATTTCGTGCTCGTCGAGGATTCCCATCAAATCACGCCAAGAATACAGCAGCTGCTTGATGCAAGTCCAGTGCTGCATTGGTCCCACCTTCATTTTTCCACTACCGGCCAGTACCACGTAAAGGGTGCAGAGCAAAGGAATACAGGGCTCGACCACATCCGTGGCATGATTAGCAGCGAGATTGACGCCGACCTTCGGAGGGCTTACGAGGTCGAGTATACGTGCCGAGCATATCCATTTGTCCGACTGCGTTGTTTTTGGCGTTCAGGCCGGTGTGGTTTATTTTGCTGACGAGAGCAACGCATACGACCTCAAACTGTTCGCAGAGATCCGGAAAGTGAAGCGGATAGGCGTGTGGCCGGTGGGGGCCGTTTCAGGTCTCCCCTTCCAGCACTGTGTCGTTAGTCCAAACACGGGCAAAATCAAAGGCTACGTGGCAGAGGTGAAATCCATCTGTCCACCTTCTTTGTTGGTTAATTGCACCTGTATCAATGCAGAGCCTTAACCCCTTTCCGATGGACACCGCGGGTGAGACATCCTGGACGTCACGTCAGGATGTGCTGCTAAGCGTTTGACTAGATTTGTCTAGGCTTTGGGATTCATGTAAAAAGCATCCTGACACACTCCCGCGACGAGCCCCGCTGGAACAAGCACGCCGAAGCAGACATGGCGGTGAAGGCTTGTACGCGGTTTCCTCATGGGATGGGTGGACGTGAATTGGTGTTTGCAGATCACTGATTTTCTTCAGCAATTCGGCCTGCCCCTGGAAGAGCTTGAGCCTCTTGGATCCAATTGCACAGAGGTACACCGTGTGGATGAGCTTCTTCAAATCCTCGTCCATTGTGCAGGTGCACGTATGGAAGGCGCATACTGAGCATGGTGCCCGTCCTGACGCGGTGATTCAACAACTCGGTCATCATGGATGGCATGATTGAAAACGATAGATGGCCAGACCTCTACACTGAGTCGCACTTATTTGTCTAGATTGGTAGATGATGTATGCACGTCTGTGGCCATTCATGACCGAAAACGAGAGACGGCCCAGTCCACAATATATAGCCCTTTATGACGGAATGGCAAAGTATTTGTCTACTTTGTCGACTGAATCAGAACTTTAGAATTGTTGCCCTTGACCCGTTGTGGACAGGCGTCACTTACAGACTCCTTGTCGGCATGGCAGATGTGGACGCACTCCACTGTCGGTGCCTCTCTCTTAGATGGCCTTTCTGACCTCTTCTTGGTCTCGGGCACCAGCTGACTCCTGAGCACCGCGTTGGCATCGGTAATACAACAGACGCCGACTCTGTGCCAAAGCACCAAGTGTGAATACTGAACACTGAGGAGCATATCGCCGTATCTCATTGGTGTACTTCTGCTTACGGGCGGACACCTCAGCGAACTTGATCAGCAACAAAGTGAGGGGATGGAACGATGAAGAGATAAATTGCTCTTTTCACTATCGGTTCGGGTGTAGCTTGGCGAAACCGCAGAGTCCAGGAACGGTTGATTCAGGATTCGAATGCCCCAAAGGAACAACTCCAAATCGCTTGCATGATGCCCTCCACCTTGCCTATCACTTAAATGAGGGAGGCTGGTGGTAGAGGGACGTGTACGCAGGTGGTCGCGAGCCCTCTGCGCCCCCCTCTCTTCACCTCCTTCATCATAGCGAAAGCTTACCGGGCTTCCCTTTCTCCTCAGGTCATTTGGTGAATGAGACGCGGGTGGAAACGCCAGCGGAAATGGTTCCGGGCGCGCCCGTCACAGCGACAGTCCTATACTTGCTTCAACTCTCTCGAATGGGCTGGTCTCCGCTTAGATTCAGTGCCGTTATCGGTTCTCTTACGAAGCATCCCCCACACCCTGAATGCTTCGTGTGGGTTTGCCCCTGCATGCCGAGGGGTGACTTGGGTGAGTGTTGAATTTCTATCCGGTCTGTACTTTCTTCACTCCTTCGCACCTACTCAGGAGAACGTGAGATTTCGAAATAACGGACAGATAGCGTAAGACAATAAAATTGTCAATACTTCTACATGGGGCGCGGCGGGCCACTTTTTTTCCTTGTGGGAGTTGTGTGTATGTGTGATGTTTCGGCCCAACGCCGGGGTGAGTCAGGGCGACTTCCTGCAATGCTGTCACGCCCACTGTTGTTGGGTCGCTGCAGGTTGCGTCTTGGAAGAGAACGTCGATTATGGCAAGGATTCCGATGCGGACTTAAAGAGGGCTCCTAGTGGATTTCCTGAATATCTCGGTTGCGCTAATTGGTGCGCAGCCACAGAGAAGTGCAAATACTGGGTTCACGTAAGCACAGGAGATGACGGTTCGTGCTGGCTTAAGACGGCCAGGGATCCTGTTTCACAAGCCGCACTGAAGGACGGCGGGATGAAGTTCATGGCTGGCAACGAAGCATGCGGGGACCCAGCTAATGTGCCTGTTGAAGGTATCAACCCACAGGAGTAGAGAGTAGCATGACATTGGCATGTCTTTCGCGACTGGCTACAGATGAGCCTGAGGGAGACTTCTCCAAGTCAACCTCAATCGATGCCGCGTTTGGATGCTTTTCTCTTAACACGACATCCAATGCCCCAATCGTCGCCCGATGGCACTACGCGGCGGTCGACAAGGGGTACGAGGTACGTGTGGACAGATGTGAGGATAAAGCTACTGCGATTACACGCACAACAGACGCCTCAGTGGTGCCAAGTACGGTGCATGGGTAATGCTGACTGCAAGTATTTTGTGTACAAACTCAAGAAGGGACACTACTACGAAGGAAGTAGGTAGACACATCTTGCTTACAGACTACCCACTCGTTTTCCTTCTTCCTGCAGACCCAATCGACGTGAACCAGGTCGACTGCCTCCTCCTTCGAGACCAGGGCGCCACACACACGCCCGAGCAGAACACAGACCTCGAGTTCGTCTTTGGACCGAAACACTGTCCGGGACAGGGTATTCACAGACGCTGACGAAACGCGCGGACACTCGCTGCACTGGGTTGTCATTGAATAGAGCCCCCTTGGAATAATCCTGTACAAGAGTGGCCTCTGCGGATCAATGTGGGTGGGCCCCCTCACAAGGACGTATACGACAAGCACTGGCAGCAGGACAAATACTTCACATCGGCGGCGGGTTTTGCCGGGGTCTACAAAAGATCCGTAAGCCCTAGCACAAGGCGGCACACAACAGGCGGGACTGCCTGTTCAGCCTTCTGTGTGGTTTAGGGCCCGTCTCTTCCTATGGAGCCCCTCGCCCACACGGGTCGTGAGGATTTCATATATTCGATACCAGTGGAGTCCCCCGTCGCCGTTGCCGTCAACCTCTACTTTGCTGAGGTATACAGGCATGTGTTTTGCGAATCAAAGCATTGTTATGGCCAATGGCATGTGCGTCAGGTCATTCATAGATGGAAACGGGGACAGCGCGTCCAAAATGTCTTCGTCGAGAACAACCTAGTGCTCGGTAACTTCGACACTTTCGGCACAGCCGGGGCTCTCATTTCCCCAGCGGGACCGAAGGTCTGTTGGACCACCTTGACCAAAGAATACCTGGCTGCAGCTTTCAGTTGTCTTCTTGCCTGCCGTCCTCTCAGGAGGTGAGGTTCGACGCAATGGACACAGGAACGCACGAGATGATGGGCAACTCCACGGTGAGTGTCTACAATGGTCCCAACGAGCCCTTCGGCACCATCATCAAGGTCGAGACGCCCATGGTGGTAATCGAGGACAACACCATTGACATTAGAGCTGAACCTGTCATGGGCAAGGCGTGGCTTACCGCTATCGAGGTCTACGCGACAGAGGTCGAGCTGGACATCGCCGTCATGGCAGATGGTCCCACTCAAACGGAACCCTTCACGGCTATTGCATTCGTGCCGGAAACGCCTACACAGGTCCATAGGAAGATGACACAGACAACACTCGACTGCCGGTGTCTGAACTGCGTGGCCAATTGCGGCCTCTGCTTTATCAGACTCTCACGATTGAGAACAGGGACAGTCGCGACTCGAAGCTCAAGATGTCGTTTGAGGGTGGCAACGATGACCAATTCTCTGTGGACCCCACAGATCTCACACTCAAGGCAGGAGAGACTTCCACTGTCGAGGTCACGTGGACGGGAGCCGATGCTGCAGATGGCCCTGTCGTCACCTCGCTCAAGCTATCCAAACATGTAACAGAGAGGGAATCTGCGGCCAGTGTGCCATTTTGATGATGTGCGGGTTGCAGCTTCGCGTGTTGATCTCAGCTGACATAACCGGCAAGAAGGCCACGCTGGAAGTGCAGAGCGACATGCAGATGGGCCTCATCGCTCCTCTGAGCTACGGGGGCAGCGGAAAGGGCATCCAGGCCCCCCTTTTGTCGAAGAAGCACGCCACCGTCACCCGGGTGGTGTCCTTCGGCTCGGAGGGAGCTTTTCAGGTATCCATTGCGGGCGTGTTTACCGTGTCGGGACCTGGGGACATCACCCTCGAGCAGCCGCTGAAGATCGCGTCCAAGGCAGCCGTCCCCATGCGTATCGGCTTCGCTGCCGAGAATGCTGGGGACTTCGAGCTCATCGTGGCCTTCATGGGGCCTGACTTCCAGACACGGTTCATGACGGTGACAGGTCGCGGTGTCAACAAAGGCGAACCTCACTATCTGCACCCGGTGCTGGATCTGCCGTCTGGTGGCTATGTGGTGGACTACGATGGCGATGGTAAGGAAAGCCTCGTGCTCATGGGACACTTCAGCCACACACACGAACCCAAGATGGTGAGCATTAGCAAACGGACGCATAGGTGAGTGCATAGTCGTTGGCCTTTCCACCCGTGTCTTTGACCAGAGTGTGGAGAAGTGGACGTACAGCGTCAACGGTCAGGTTGTGTCCAGCGGTGTCGATAAGGACATCACTGACGAATACGAAACCGGGGTCTATACTGTCCAACTCACCATTGAAGACGGAGAGGCAAAAGCACTCGCGGACACAGGGAGGTATGTGTCTACACGCACCGGAAGCAACAGCCCATCCGTGCTTGCTCTTCCTCCCAGTGTGGCCGTCGTTCCCATCGACAAGGTCCCCGGTTGTGCGGCTTTCATCTACAAGCCCCCAGCGTCCCAGCTGAAAGAGTTCTTCGCGGCTCCGATGGACGGGATCAACCTCAGGAGTGGCGAAATAATCCTCAAGCCAGCGTGGATCGGCAGCAGCCTCGACAAAGGGTGCGACCTCAAGCCCGACAGTCGAAATAATAACCTGATGGGGTCACCCTTTAAGCAAAACCTCATCCTCAAAGCTAAGGTGAGCCACAAAGGCTCATACGTGGCTGCTGCAGAGTGCATTCTTGCAGGGCCTCCTTGAAGTGAATGACGATATGCAGAATGAAAAAGGGGAGGTTTCGCTCACCGTCAACGCAGAGCCGGCCGTCCAGACGATGTTGTGGATAAACGGTAAACCCGTGTCCCTCAGCAAGGGCAATGCCAAAGCCAAGCTCGCCAGCGGCATTCAGCTCTTTGAAATCAGCTGGCTCATCACAGACCCCGCTTCGAAGCCTCTGGGGGTATGTAAGATGCGTCCAGAGAAGATTCGGATTTGTACTTGGCTTGTGTCCAGCTGCACATGAACGGCGAAGCGACGGGCATGGGTGAGGTCTTTCACAGCGAGCAGGATTACCCGCCTTTCATCAACCGCGTCTCCCCCACCAAGGGGCACGTCTCCGGCGGCCAAAAGATCACAATCGAGGGTGTCGGTTTCATGAATCCCCTCACAGCAAAGGAAGGCGCGTTGCTACATTTTGACCAGACGCCTGTCGACTACCTGAAAGACGCACGAGTCTCCAAGGCCTCCGGCACACGGATCATCTACGAGATTCCGCCAGGGGTACGCGCAGGGTGGGCATTCGGAGACACACATCCGCGCATCCTGGGTCCTATGTTGGTTCGCAGGAGGAGGGAAAACTTGCTCTTTCTGTGCAGACTCCTCTTGGCAAGTCCAACAGCAAGCTATTCGAATATTCTAGCCGTGTGCCTCCCGCTATCAAGTGGATGGAGCCAACTACCCTGCTTTCATTCGAAAACAGAGCAGCCCTCAGGGAGAATGAACGAGTATTTAATTTCATAGGTATGCGACAGGTCAAGAGGCACCAATAAGAATGGTCGTGTAATTTACTAGGCTCGCTGACCCAGGGCGAGTGGGGGCCCGATGGTCGCCTGTACATGAGCGACGTCGGTGGTGGCATCCGGTCGATCAAGTGGCTCAACAACAAGCAGATTCAACGGAACAGCATAATCGAAATCACGACCATCATGGTCATGCACACAGTTACACAATCAGAGATCGCGTGTATCTGCGTCTTATGAACAGGAGAAGTACCCTGGGCACGCAATCACCGGCTTCGGATGTGCGTAGACGGTTGTGAAAAGCGAAATGCAAACGAATACAACTCTGTTTTTCTCTCATTGTATATGTACAAAGTCGACCCGTTTGGTGACCCAGACGACCCAGAAATGTACGTGGCACATGCTCCAATGTTCCACTGGGTACGTCACAATGCGCGGCCAACACCAAAATATCGATCGAGTCCTTTCAGCAAAATGGTGATTGCTTCACACCGGAAAAAGACCACGCGGAGTTTATTGGAGTGCTGAGCAAGCTGAAAGGTCAGGAACAAAGGGGCCTGTGTGCACATACGTATGCGCGCGCAACTGCCGGTTTGGTGTTTGCAGGACCGCCTGACTTCAGATATCATGAAGTGGTGGTTGATGGTCTGCCCATGTCCAATCACGACCATGGCCTCAACGGCATCTCCTTCGACAACAGCGGAAACATGTACTTCCCGATCGGTGCCATGACCAACATGGTATGGAATAACATTGGACTGTCATCTCCTTTTGTATCCGCCTGCGCTCCTCCAGGGCTGGCCCGTGTGCATCCTTGGGGGTTTGCCAGAGAGCCACTATTCAGGGGCAGTGATCAAGGTGGAGCTGAAGAACCCCAGGCGCTCAAAGAGGCTGGAGTGGGTTGACTACTTCACACGAAAACCAATCAAAAAACCCAACCAGGTCATCGATTTCCCCGAGGTTCGTTGCACTCCATCGCGCATGTGCATCTAACAGGTGGTGGCTGACACATATGATGTGGCCCCATGGGTCACTGGTGTGTACCCCTATTCATTCGGCTTGCGCAACGCGTATGACACCGTTTACACGACAAAAGGGCAGCTATGGGTGTCGCAGAACGGCTGGAACGAGGGGTACGGCATTACAATAAACGGGCCCCCAGAATCGGGCTGTACGTTCGACGGCTGGGATAAATCTAGCTACGCTAGTCCGGACAGAGGCGAGTGCGGTCGTGTCCATACGTATGCGGGGCAGCCATACGGCGCCCATGGCAGCAAAGGGAAATCATCCGGCTGCGTCTCGTACTGTGTGTCATCAGGCATGAACCCGTTTTGGAAGGGGGAAGAGAAGTGCTTGCCGGTGCTGGAAGAAGACTCGACTGACCCCGATCGCCTCTTCCGGACCTTTTTCAATGCATACCACGGCCTACCAAACCCAGCACGCGCGCGTAACATGGGCGACGACCGGCAGTGGTACGTCAAGGATGCCTACGCACCACACGACCCGCCAAGGTTCCACCAGGGGTATTCCTGGGAGTCATCGACCAACGGAATTGCCGAATTCAGAGGTAGAAAACAGATCGGCACTGCGCGAGTCCCTGCATGCTTCTTTTGCGCTTAGGCAACTGCTTTGCCGGCGCAATGCGTGGTGACTTGCTTGGCGCCAAGTGGAACGGATGGATCTGGAGAGTTGACATCCCCTACCTGGAAGAGGAGGAGGGAGGGGACGTTTCTATCTCGCGGCTCGAAGGAGCGGATGTGGCTGGGCTGGAGGTATGTACTGCCGCAAAGAAGGACGCAGGTAAAGCAATTTGATGCGTGCATCGCAGGTGGTGTACGGCCCAGGTTGCAGCATCTTGACGCTGGACTACACCCACAACCACCTAAAACACATCATGGCCGACGACGAGGACGCCAAATCAAACGCCGGACCGACGGCATTTGGTGAATGAAGAGACCACATAAGTGGTGGCCTCTGCAGTCATGGATGTTCTTGTGCGTGTGCTTCGGTCAATAGATATCACCCCATGGAGGGGCAACTACCGCTTCGCACACAAAGTCGTCATCGGTAAGTGAGAACTCATGCAACAGCACGAGAGCACGCAACAGCACCCGAGCACATAGTGCAACGTCGTGTTCCTGAGTGTGCAGGTGGCTACAACATGAATGGCCAGGGCAAGACGAAGCCCTCACACTCCCGGAAGGCAACCAAGTTTGTCATCGATGGGGTCGAGTGTAGCGTCATCTCTCAGAGCGTAAGCCCACCAGCGGCTTGTTACGTCGTGACTTGATGCTTCCTCATGCAGGATACACGTATCGAGGGCGTGGTTCCCGCTGTGGAGAGCCCCCGCCATATTGAGGAGCTGCTGGACGTCATCATTTACTTCGGTGATGGCACCAAGTCGGTACTACCGGACTCGTGGCTCTGGGCTGACCCACGCCATGTAGCCGGGTGGGCATGCAAGCAGATAACACCACGAGAAGCAGGAAAGGAGTCTTATGCCTTGTGTCTGCCCGTTTGCAGTCCCCAACCTGCCGGTCCGCCAAGCAGGAGACACGTGGAGAACGAGACACGTGACGATGCTGGAGTGATAGGAAGGCGTCGTCATCTTTGATGCGACGATGCATCCTGGATTCTTGCGTTCACCGTCGTGCCTGCATCTTGGTAAATTCACATGTTTATGTAGGCCTTATCTGTATGCCTATCGATGTCTGATGGCGCTCAATAGTGCGTAGGGAGAGGGGAGCGAAATCCTGCGCACCCTGAGACACAATACGACTGTCTTGGCGGCTGGCTCCCTGCCTGCTCTGAACGCACAAAGCCTGTAAGCCCATGTTTGTCCACCCAAATATATACACGTCTGACATCACCCCGCCAGCGCCCCGAGGACAATCAAGATAGACCACATAGAAGGGGGGCAGCTCCCTGTGAGTCCTACACACCTTACACAACGCACATCATCCACAACCACCTAGATAGCATACATATACAGCACCATACCGTCGCTCACTCGACCTGCGACTCCTTCAGACATGCAGTTTTGCGCGCTACCGGAGCAGACAGAGACATATACCCAGCAATCCGTCAGGATTCCCGATCAGATCGATGTGAAGATGGAGGCGGTGCATGGGGTGATTCGGCACTGAAGTTGGTGTCAGTCACTTGGCCATACAATCAGTATTTGACCAACTTTTCCAGTGCAGGGCGTCAGTTTTTCAGATCACCAGTTTTCCACGTCGGATGGCCAGTGTTCCACTCAGGTGGTCCACTGCAGATACACACCAGTTTCTCGGCCCCTCGCTTCAGTTTTCCGCATGGGGCCCCGATTTTCCGCACAGGACACAGTTTCCCCCCCTGGGTCAGTTTTCTGGCAATGTACCGCTTGTAGTGAGACACAACATAACGAGATGTATCAGACATAAATGCTTTTGCATCGAATGCACTACAGTCCCAAGAGAAATCAACAGAAACGCCGAATTCCGTGTAACCGACACCGGTTTTCGGCACTTTTTGCGCCAACGAGAAAGCGCAATTGCAATTGGAAGCAAACTCGTCTCTCGCAATGTCCGTGCGCATATATTCCATCAACCAGACCTTGAAGCGTGTGCAAGGGGATTGCGGTTGAGTTAGCGGTGAGCAAGGTCTCAGCGGCTATGGTCTCGTTTGCGGCGGCGAATAGCGACGGCCGCTTGCGTACGAAGAGAGCATAAAGCAGTTGTGTCGTGGACGATGCACTGTGTGGCTGATGGTTCAGGGCTGTGTAACCTTTCAGTGACTGGTTCTTCTTGTTGTCGGAACGAAAAGCCATTAGCGCTTACGTGTGAACACAGCATAGCGAAATGTATCATGCATTGACACAGTCGTGGTGATTCGGGTTGACTGCAACTTTCGGTGGCTGGTTCTCGTGTTTGACGGAGCGCAGAGGGATACAGCCATGAACCAGGCGCGGGCCACGCCTTCATAGGCGCGGATTTCGTCGACATAGGCGGAGACGCCAGCCTATATAGGCCCGAAAAGTACAGCCCGCGTCCGCATAGGCGCGGATTTCGTCGATATAGACGGAGACGGCAGCCTATATAGACGCAGACCTACCTATGAAGGCGCCAGACGCGCCTATATGGGCGCATGAATGGAGGCGATGAAGAATCCACCCATATAGGCGCGTCTACATAGACGGCACAATGCAGGCGCGCCTGGTTAATAGACTCAATCGAATCATAACTCGCGAGACAAACATTCATTCATTCATTAGCCATGCGTCTGTGCTAGTTCATGCGCGCCTCTGTCTCGTCCATGCAGGCTACGTGTCTCTTTTTCTGTGCTACGTGTCTCTTTGTCTGTGCTACACCTCTTCTCTCTGTCTTACGGCCAGAACCTTTGTTCAGCGTCTTTTGCTTGAGCGGCAGCAGCCCCTGACCTCTGTGACTCATGTTCCTGAGCAGAGAAAAGCAGTCATTCATGGGGAGGCATTTGATAGGTCGCGTTCTTCATTCGCTGTGCCTTGGTTTGGTCGCTTTTGGGGCAGCAGTGGCGGTAGCTCTCTCGAGTTCTTGACGGTGGCTACCTGCCGACAGCAAATCAGAGTCTGATGGTTGTTTGTTTGGTTCTCGTCTCACTTTGGGCTTGTCGACGCGGTTGACATGGGACTGCGCGGGGGTCATCAGCTCGAACTCCTTGACGCTGTGCTTCATGCTGTATCAGCACCTGTCGCTGCACAACACGCTGCGTAGGGGTGGGTGGAAGTGACTGAGTCGATCGGACACTGCGGCACGCGGGAGGGAGAGGTGACGGGAAGGCGCTTTGGAAGGGTTTCTTGGTTGAGACCGTTGTTCGCCGAAGGCGAACAAGGGGTCTCATCAAAAACCCATTCAAAGCGCATTTCTCGCCACCTCTGTCTTCCCGCGTGCCGCCTGCCGCGTTGGGTTTAGGGTTTCAGCGCAGTGAATTAGGGTTTAGGGATTAGGGTTTAGGGTCGGGTTTAGGGCTTAGGGTTTAGTTGACTCAGGTTTAGGGTTTATTGAAATGCCTCCCCGAAAAATCGCGAAGGGCAGCGAAGGTGGCCTCGATGTGGGCGCCGATGTAGGCGCCTCGATGTGGGCGCCGATGTAGGCGCCTCGATGTCGGCGCCGATGCAGGCGCCTCGATGTCGCGCCGATGTAGGCGCCTCGATGTCGGCGCCGATGTAGGCGATCGAGGCGCCTATGTCGGCGCGGCCCGTCGCTGGTATATGTCTCGCATGGCGCTTGTTGTGTCACCAGCAGAAGCATCCGCTGGTGACACATGCCCTCTCCTGGTGACGTTTCTCGAGCATCCGCTGCTATGCAGGTCCCCGTCATCGCAACAGCCGCCGCAGCAGGTCCGGTGCACTGTACTCCACTCCTGCAGGCGTTCGTGCGTACATGTGCAGCATGCTTGGCGCAGTTGATCGATTTGGAGGAGAATGAGCCACCCCCGTCTCGGGCAAGGCACAAGGTAATTGCACGCATGGGCATGTATGAATGCCAACCCCATGTCTTTTGCCTTTCTGCGGGTCAGGGCGCTGCAGAATCCTCGCACGGCCGTAATCAGCCCATAACAAAAAAACGAATGCAAGGCATGTCGTGTGTCATTTTTATCGTTCGCCTGCCGGCTCCCCAGCCCCCACCTTCTGTGAACGACGCCCGTCTCTTATTGAACGACGCCCGTCCCCTTTGAAGTGATCGATCGGGACTCGCCCAGCTGAAGTGGCAATGATCATACGGGTTTGGGCGGCGGCAATGTGTACATCAATCTTGTAAGTGAGGTAGGCGAAGGAGAGGTGAAAAAATCTCACGACTTGCACATATGTCGAACAGTCGGGAGAACGCAGAGGATTCCAGAGGATGATACGAAGGCAGGAAGAGGTACAATGCTAAAGACGGATCGTCGACGCTGTACTGCTGCCAAAGAGACAGAACAGTTCCGTCGATTCTCATATGTGGTAACACTTGAGTAAGGATGCACTTTTATCAGTTTATGCAGCACAACCACAGTTTATGAAGGGGTTGTGCTGTGGTTGTGCTGCTGCGAACATATCCTTTCCCCCTTTGGTACCGGCCTTGTGACTTTGTTGCGTGTCGTGATTGGACTCTGCGTGCTGTTTCTGTTGCTTGAACGGGCTCCCCTGTGCGTACACCACTGTTGCTGCAGCTGACGATCACGTGCATCGCCATTCTTTCTTCCACGTCACGTATCACCCACTTCACCGTCCACCTATCCATTACCACTAGAGCCAGTCACCCCTCGCTCTCGCAATTTCCCGCACTGTATCTATCATCCGTCGTATCTCTAACGCCGAATCGTCGAATAATTTTCAGTTAACAATGGGACGCGCCACTCTATGTGTCCTTCTTGTTCATCGGCCAACCCATGTTCAAACGTCAAGTGAGACATGCGACATCAGTAGACCACACTGGAACCACACTAAGAGTTTTCCGAGCGACGCCCCGTCCTCGCAAGAGAACACTTCCTGGGGGAAAAAAGAGATCCCCATGCCAGAACATGTGAGACTGGGCACCATTCTCCGTATTATCGTTTCAGGAACAGCCTTGTTGCTCATCTCAGTCGCTGTAAGGCAAGACCTCTTCTCGGTCCACCCCATCAGTTACGCAGACCAAAGGGCAGCAGAGGAGCGTGGAAATGATGGGCGGGCCCCTATCGACCTCACAGCACTGGACGCTTTTGTGAGGCGGCTGAATGAAGGTGACCTGCTGAGGAAGCATTGCGAACCCTACTGGGAAGAAATGGTGTTGGACGAAAATCCGACGCTGAGTGCTCTCGCAAATCTGGAAGAGAGGGAGGCCAAGTCAGCTACTCTTGGAAGTGACCGTGCCGTGGTCCTACCCCACTTCAACTACAAGCCTGTCAGACTAAGTGTCATGAATGGGAGCCTCCACTGTCATCCTCTTTCGAACTGCAAACCACGAAATTACGACAGACTGGGCGCCGTCAGTGCTGAGAAAGTCCTACGGCGCATATCTGAGGCCCTGGGTCAGGCAAGGAGGGAAGGAGGAAGCCTGTCAGACGTCAATTTCACGATACATCTCGAAGACTGCCCAAAACTCTGGTGGGACACCTGGTGGTACACTTCACCATGACTCTTGCACCGAGGGAAAGGAGCCAGGGACAGGTGTCCCGTGTCCTCCGTTTCGCAGGCGCGGGGAGGCCCCTGTTTCCGTGGCAAAAGGCGCCGGGTCCTGTCAGAAAGGAGGCGAACATGGTGGCTTCTACCAGAGTGTGCAGAGGGGTCAAGCCCCACCCGGGATGCTTTTATCCGAATCTACTCATCTGTTGTATTCCTGGGACATGTAAGTGATCCAAGTGATCACTCTCCTGCGACATTTGCAGCTTCCTTTCATCTCAGTCCTGGTGTGCCGTATGGCACGCACAACAATCGATTTGAGGAGGTCATTCGGAATAAGATGCATGACATCGCATATGCGAACGGCTCACTCTCTGAAGACCTTTGGGCCAAGGCTTGGAACAGCAAGGAGGACGGCGTTTTCTTCATTGGACGCTTCAACGACGATGCCCGGCTTCAGCTGGCATGTCAAATGAGTGTGTTGGACCTGCAAATGTCGAGGGCATTCTACATCTCTGACGCAGCCAAGGCAGACAGGCCACGTCAAAATTGCACCAAACATGCTATCGAGCTCGAGCGGTACGCAGGGACTACAACTCCGACTGAACCTGGGCTGTATTGCTGCTTTTTTCATGAAGTGCATTTGGCTGCTCCGCTTCCCATATTTGCCGTGGACCAGACACTTCCTTCGACGTGTGGCAGGAGGAGCTCTTCAAGCACAAATATGTCCTGGACCTTCCTGGAATTGGTAGGAAAGCGCCCCTTACTTGTGCACCGGTATTTCACTACGCAAAACGGGAACAGGTCCGTGGTCTGCTCGGTTGAGCCTGCTTCTGCTCAGCGGCGCTGTTGTCTTTCAGCACATACGCAACTTTGAGGCTGCACAGGTACGCACGCAGGAGACTGGGTGGCAATTGGGCAACTTCCTTTGCTGTCAGTTTTACGATGCCCCTCTCAAGCGACGTGGTGTGCTGGTTCCTTTTTCCGACGCCAGGGATCTCCAAGAAAAGTTGGATTGGTTCCGCAACCATGATGATGTCGCACAAAGGGTCGCGAGGGCTGCTCACCAATGGGCATGGTAGGTACCCTTGCCAAATTTACAACTCAGACTTTGCTACTCCACACCGACGTCCGTAGGACATGTCTGACGCGGGAGAGCATTGGAAAGTCCCTCGTGACACTTTTGAGACGCCTTGGCACCTTTCAAAAGGCGGGTGAGAACAGGACGGCCGCCGAAGTGGAGGGTTGTCGGATCGATCAGAGCATCGCTCTTGCGGATCATCAGGCGGAAGGCTTCGATGACCTTGTCCAAAAGTGCTTAGAATGGTAGCAAGTCTCCGAAGTGAGACACTGCCTGTCGAAGGACTGTGTTCCCAGACGGGTAGGCACCACAAGTGAAAGGATGGTAGAATCACGCAAAGAATATATTTCATCGACCGGGAATTAATCAAGTATGCAATTGACGTCAGCGGCAGGAGGTCGCAAAACAGCCAACCATCAGAGATTCTTAGACTTAAAGGACGAGCGCAGAGCACAGCGTCGCTACGGTGACCTGAAATGGGACGAATGATGAGCCGTAGCTGTCCAATGGTGAGCCGTAGCTGTCCTGTCTGATTGTGTGCTTGAATGTCTGCATACACAAAGCTAGCAAACCTACACTGATCCAGACGTAGCCCCCTCGCATGAACCGACACGCACACTCACACACGCACACCCACATAATACACGGCATAAGACAGCCAATGTAAGGCGGAGGCATTCTCGGCGTTACACAAAATAAACTTAAGAGGGATGTGAGCTCGAAAGCACTGAGAAGGTTCTGTTGGAGAGAGGTGGGTGAGCTCGGGGTGGCAATGGTCGTCAATTCATACTGCTCACGAAGAAGGTCCCAAGGTCCTCTCTTGAAAGTGAACGGACACAACTTGTAGCCTCCATTTTCTGATTGGGATGGAATGAAGTGAACTGAAGCATTGCGAGCGGCCAGATCAGACAAGACAAATACACACGATACTCCTTCCTAGACAAAATACACGTTTCGATGCAGATCACACAGCAAGAGAATTTGCCGGGACAGAAGGAGAGAGACGCAGCTGTCCTGAAGGAGAGAGATGCAGCTGAGAGGCAGCAAATACTGCACATTTGTAGGACTATTTATCCCAGCTGATTATGTTTTTCCAGGCGCCCATAGTGTCTACTTGCACGGCTTCGCCTTGCCTGAATATGTGTCCCCTATCTTCCTGGAAGTATCGGGGGTCAGCATTCCCAAGCAATACAGGAAACCTTCAGACACAGACGAAGTCAAGTCATTGGAAGGTCAGTGTCTTCACCACTGTGTATTGTCTACCTGTGCGGGTTGCACCTGACGAACCACGGCAGCTCCCTCAGTTTCACTTGTTTATACTTCTCGCCGAGCTGCATAGAGCCATACATCATTCATGTGTCTACTTGTGTGCAATTCCTGCGCAATCGGTGTTTTCACGCACCTCGTCTTTGCGCATGTACTTGGCGAAGATCTTGACTTTTCTCGTATAGCCCTCTGAGTACATTCTCCTCTGCGCCCAAACCAGGCGAGCCGCCATCTCATTGAAGAGTCCTGCAGGGGTTTTCCATGATGAGCGTTCAGCCGCTGCCCATGAGTCGGCACGGTAAAGAGGCTCTAAGTCAGGGAGGGTAGTGTCTGACCACAAAAAGATTCATGCTCCTTGCAGAGTACCTTTCTTGGTCACGTTGCTGCTTACTCGCAAGTGGGGTGTTGAGCTCCGCGTGTAAATCGGATGGAAGCTTATCCAGCGGATCACCAAATAGAGCGTCGCCCAGACATGAATCAGGGTGGAAGATCTGACCGTTGCCCTCACCGAAAGTTGTGTCTGGAGGAACAGGGGACGCTGCATTAGAGTGAAAACCTACGGTGAGACTTTGAAATTAGCATACACTTGACGAAGAGGAACGGAATGTAGTTGTAGTCCGTGATGTGCCAGCTGTGAACAGACAAATGGTATTTTGCGTCTGTGTCACACTTGCCGTCATTCATGCATACCCTCCATAGAGTTTCTGAGGCGGCTTCGTACGGTAGAAGAAGGATTTGAAGTCCTTGGCTGTCTTGTAAGGCTGAGGTCGCACAGGCAGCGTAATGAAAGTCCAATACAACGTGCGCCTTACATACAATGAGGGTGCCTCTAGGAGCGGTCGCCAGGGGCAGGTGTGGGATATCTAGGCTCATCATCCTCGTCATCACGATATTGAGGTTCCCCGCCCAACTCATGAGAACTAAAGCGGTGTTCTCGAGCGGTTTGGCCATCTCACAGTGCTTGACCAGCTTCATGACGTCACCGGCAGGGAACTCATCGGGATCGCTCGCAAAAATCAGGTCCTCGTCTTGCTTCACATACTTGTACCCTTGCTCCTTGTTTAGCTGCAAAAACCTCCTCATGAGCTCATCGCGGGCCCATTTTTGTGTCGCCCAGCAGTCCTCATCTGTCCTGCAGTCATCGTTGCTCTCGTACTTGGTACGCATCACCAACTCCGGCAGCTCTATCACCACGATCCGACCTCGCAAGTCGCCAAACCTGAAGGTGGCTCCAGCCAGTCAGCTATAGCATGTGTGACGACTTGCATTAATCGTCAGCTATAGCATACACACCATGGAACCCACAGCCGAGCCACCGCGTGCCTACCATTCAGGGTCTTGCACTGCTTGGGTCATCATCAATGGTTTTGTGAAGCCCGTTGACGTCAAACGGCTTTCGCCAACGATGAACCAGTCGACTGCGTGGCGTAACTCGTGGAAGCGCACCTCTACGATATCTGATGACACTAATGTAGCGTTGTGGGTTCTTCCAGGTCACAACCCTGCTCACCCAGGTCGTATCCAAAGTAGATCATGTCGACGATTTTTCTCGGTCTTCCTAAGCGTTTGCCGGACAGGAGGCCGCTGTGCTTTTCGTTGGCGGTGCAGTCGTCGTCCCCCACTTCAGTGTGGTTTGGCGGAGCTTCGCATGTGGAATTGATGGGCACGGGAGGGGCAGACAGAATATAGGTGGACAGCATGTTGGTGATGGACTCGTGCATAGCTAAGTACAAGAAGGGGAAGCCTCATGGCGAAGAATGTATCTGTAGACTACCTCGTGGTGCATATGGCAGAAGGGGGTGATTTGGGACATCACCGAAGTCAAAAACCATAAGAGCCTCCGCAAGTGAAGGCACGAAATGTGAAAGAGAAGCCCGGCGCAAGACAGCTCTCCTGTGCCCGGTCCACTCGGAGTCCCGGAGAAAAAGGCGAAAGAGAAATAGGCAGCCGATGACGAAAGATAGAAGTGTAGTTCCCTGCACACCACCAGGTGAACGCCAGACAAGCGTCCTTTCCTGGGTCTACCGTCAGTTTTTGCTTCCGGAGCAAATCCCACAATCGGAACTTCGGTCGACGTGTATGTTCCCATTGGCAGAGCATCCGTCCCCTGGGCCAAGGTCAACCGTTAACGTCCCCTACGCCACGAGCCATGCAGCAAATAAAGTGCTAACGTGCCGCCTGATCCGTAGCACGCTACCAGCCACGCCATAAGACCATGCGAGACAGCAGTGAACAAAGTACGGCCAAGAACGACGACATCGACATCCGCGCTTCCGTTTGGTTCACTGTTTTTCTGCCGGCAGCATTGTCGTCCGAGGCACGCCTCAGGAGGCGTCCGATGTTTCTTTTAAGTGATGCACTCTCGGAAGGTTCTACCAGCACCTACGGTAGCCGTGGTGGCTGTTGCGGCGAGAAGACTGGACCACGTGGGCGGGTGTGCCTTGGACCGCTGAGGACCTTTCTCAGCTTCGCCTGTTGTTGCGCTGCTGAAGCTTCTGCAGATGAAGCATCACTACAGTCCATACAGGTATGCAGGCACCATCTCTACACTAAACTTCATTCTCCATCGTCAAAGGCTTGTGGCGTGTCGGGGGAAGATATCTTGATCTTGCGAAGTCATTTGTATCAGGACTCTCCGAACGCCATCTTGTCCTGGCTATCTTCCCCCGACACGCCACAAGCCTTTGACTTAGCCGCTTCTTGTCCTGGCAAGAGGTGAAAGAGACTAATGGCGACTCACGTAGGACTCGCAGTCAGCATGGCCGGTATGTGCGTTTTCCATTTCAGTCTCCGCCCAATGACCTCCCGAAAGAGAAGGCGACAGAGAAGAGGCCGGAAGTGGGAGAGAAGAAAGGTCCCCCGACACTCTCATTTCGTCGGTGATCGGGGCTAGATCGGTACATCGCCACTCCGTCGGTAATTAGGTTGACTGGCTCTGATGTAGGTCAAGGAGGTGAGTCAGTCACCCACAAAGGATCTGGGAATGATGATAGTCAGATAGAAAGAAACTATCTAGAGTGGCTGGCTCACTATCTGTCGGTTTGATATCACACGTGGTAGTTCGTGGCAGCCGCCTGGTCTGTGGCATGGAGTGCATCGCGGTCGATACGGGTGCGCAGTCAGCATGCTCAGCCATCGGTACGTGTGATCATTCCTCTGGTTAGGAATGGGGGCTACCGGAGACGCCATCTTGTCCATTGACAGGAGTGTGACGGTACGTGGACAAGTGCTCAGAAGCATCCATGCAGATCAGGATTCATTCCCTATCTCCCCCAAGGAATTGAGTATTGATTTACGTGACCCATCAGTGCGTCTGTGTGTCGTCCCACTTGGAAGTGTTGAATCGATCAGAAGCATCAAGCAGCTCGACGATAAAGTAAGCAAGCCCGGCCATGAAGTTTCTCCTTCTGACTGCCTTTCGTTTAGACGCGTTTGCTGACCTCCACCGACATTACAAATCTCATCGTTGCTGAGGTACGTGACACATGTCAGGCAGAGACAGAAACTGGATCCCCGATCCCCTCGTTTCCACACAGTTTCGCGAACCTGATACAAGACTGAAGCGACGCATCGGTCTCATTTCTTCTCCATTCCACTCCTGGGCCCCAGCCGAATCTGCCTCACGTGGCCATGTCCAGAAAGTTTCCGTCTCACCATCCGACAAGGGGAACAGCTCTCCAAGGAACGACAAAAGAAAAGACAGCTACAGTTAGTGGGTGACTCGTCTTTCTGTTTGTTGATTGATGCAGTACTGCTCCGGGCAAACCAGAAGAGGTATCTCCATCCACAAGAGGACAGGACACTGCCTCAGCAAAGGCAAAGGCAATGAAATTCAAGAGATCGCTTCCAATTCTTAGCATATACGGACAAAACACATGCTGATGGTGCTGCTGCTACCTACATGTCAGTTCCCCATCATTCTTCAGTCTACAGACACGCCTGCACACACGTAAGGAGAGTGCGGAAAAAAACAAGGACAGGGGGGTGGGCAAAAAACAAGGACAAGGGGGTGATCTCGGCCGCCTAGTCTAGTCCCCTCCCACTGGGTCCCCTCCCCCTTGTACAACCTGGGCCATAAGGGAACCTTCGTGAGCCGGACTCGTCGCCCGTGGAATGAATGGAGAAACGAAAAAAAAGAAAGAGAATCAGGTAGATCAAAGGAGAAAAAAAAAAAAAACAGGTCGTAGCGGTTTTTTCTGTAGCTGATTCCGTTGCGGTTCTGCTCGACACGTCAAGACAAGTCAAGACGTCATTTGCCGTCCCGTTGCGTGTGCTGCAGCAGATCTCGAGGTGGCTCTTCCGATCTCAAGCACGCTCCCAACCATCATTCACAGGCAGTCAGAGTCAGCGCATCAGTGAG